AAAAGTTATCTTCAGCACATTGCATGGCTGTTCTAGGCACAGTAGAGTGACCAACTAAAACCTGGTCAAACTTTGGACACATTTCTTTAGAAGTGGGTCTAGAACAACCATGTGTTTGTAGGAAAGTAAATTCCACTGGAAACAACAGGGCTTCCTGGTCAATAACCATCAATATACTCAAGAGAAAATCCATTGATTCGAATCAGAAACCAACCCAAACTTAAATACTTTTAAATTGCATTATTTTTATAACACTTAAACATGCTGATTTAGGGGTAGCTGTAAAGTCCTTATCCAGGAAGCACTTAAAAAAGATATTTGCCAAGTGCTGCAGATGGCATGAAGTGACATGATGAGGTAACCAGAGAAGATGGAGTGCAATTTTCAGCCTACTTTTGTTCTACAGAGGGATTGGATTAAAAAAAAAAAATAGTGATGTAACTTAATTTTTATTAAGTTACACCCAAAATCATTTTTTTAAGTAATCCATGCCTAATGTTTGAAACTGTTGTTAAAAAATATATAAAATGCATCTCTTTCTGTCTGTCCCACACAGTGAATATGGTATTAAGCCAGAAGCAAAGGTAAGTATGGTTCATGGTTCATGAACCATGGTTCATCTCTTTTTATTTTAGATTCACAGTTCTTTTCAAACAGTTCTGTGAAATCTGAAGGTGTACACACACAAATCTCCACAATAGGCTCACCAAAATATTATGCTGTTCTCTAAGAAAATGCAGGGTTTTTTTTCATGTTTTCTAAAAGCTCCTACCTGGTGGTGAGGACTCCTAATTATTTTGAAAACAAGCATACTTTTAAGCAGGCATCAGGAGAGTTTTTCTTATGAAACTGCCTTTCACATTCAGGAACAACAACTGAATATTTTTTAATGCATTTGGCACTGGCTTCCCATAATGTATTCTCTTGCTTAATCATTTCAACTATTTTTCCAACCCTCTTGACCAAAAGAAATAAGACTGATAAAAAATGAACGTTATCTAGTTTGGTGGCTGTGCTGCACACAGTAAGCTTATTTGTTTGAGCCTCCCAAAGGTCTAAGAAACGTAACCTTACAATAGCAATCAGTAAAACAATGAAGCTGAATGTGAAAAGGGAAGCTAATGTGAGTAGAGAATTTCCTAGGCTAGAGCAAGCTCACTCTGAACAAAACCATGGTAATGCTGAAGGGAGAGAAGGGAGAGAGGATTATGCAATACTGTATTTCTAATCTTCTGTTTCTCTTAACTGCTTCCTAAAGAATGTATTGTACCCGAGATGGAAGAGGTTGACAAGCCAATGAACTGGGATGTTGTCTAAGGAATGCATCCTGGATTATTATGATCTTGGACCCTTATTACACTTCTTTCTCCCCAGTTCCTAATGTATAGACTTTGATAAATGGACTACTTGCTGGTTATAGTTCCATTGTACTAAACTTTAAACTTTTGCTAGCTGTGATACAGATTAGAGGAGGCAGATCTTAGAAGAGGCATCTCCCCTCAAAGATGTGAGCGCAGGCAGAATTGCTGCAGTGCTTTACTTTGTATGCAACTTTACTTTGCTGGCAAGTGTGGTTTTTCAACTCCTCCACACTTTGCCATGCTGAGGCAGAGTGATGCACTGCCCAAGCAAACCACTTTGGCAGAGTGAATCAATCACAAGCTGATCTACCCAAGAGAGAGGGCGGGGGGAGAGGGAGAGGGAGAGAGAGAGAGAGGGACTGAATATACATGAGAGATGGAGTTCTTGGTGCTCTCCAAGCTTGGTTGTTTGCTTGCTGACATTTCATTACCCAACTGGGTAACATCATCTGCTGCAGTTACCTAGTTGGGTAATGAAATGTCTGCAAGAACACAACCAAGCTCGGAGAGCACCAAGGACTCCATTTCAACTCTGACCTCCAGACGTTCTCTTCTGATGGATACATGAAGACCTCCAAATCAAAAGATTCTCACCTGGCAAGTGCAAAAAGAATTAGCTTGAAACCAGTGAATCTTTCACAATGGTCACCTCCTTTTTCTTTGACCTGTACATGTTTGTATGAGTGGGTTACTTGCTGAAAACATCTTGATGTATTTTACTAAAGTTATTTCAACCACAGCAACAGTCTTTTTAGAAGAAGAACCACATTAGTCTGTGGTAGCAAAAATTAGGAGGAGTCTGGCAGCATCTTTTCCAACTGACAAATGTTATTAAAGGCATATACTTTCATGAGGCTTATGCCTTTTAGTAAAATGTGTTAGCTGGAAAAGATGCTACTAGACTGTTTGTGATTTTTTTTGCAACAATTCCTACAGCATGGTTCTTTTCTAGTTAGATTTCTTTGTTCGGAATTACAGTCATTACTTTGGCCACCACCACTCAATGCTCTGTAGTTGTTAATGGGTATACAGTACTGTATCTCCCAGTATAGCTGTTTTATAACTGATCTATGACCATAATAACATTTAATTTAAAAACTAATAATAATACAGTTGTTCTTAAAATCTGAACATCTGATTTTGCTGGCAACTAGAAATCCAGAGACCAGACCAAAGCATTAATGGGTGAATGTTAGCACCACACACAGAGGTACAATCATTTGCATGAGTTTTAAACAGAGTTTTTATGCCTCTGTTCCTTTTTTCTCCCCCGTAGTACTTTTTTCTCCACTCCTCAGGTAAATACAAAATTATATATTTAGCTAGCACTCAGGAGACCTGGGATCAAATCCTGTCTCAGCCACAAAATTCACTGAGTAATATTGGGACCAGGCACTATTACCCAATTTAATCTATGTCAGAGGATTGCTGGGGAGATAAATTTGGAGGTAGGGCTACCTAGGTACACCATCTTGAGCTCCTGGACAAAAGGCAGAGTATGATCTCTGCTTAGTTTTTTTAGATTCAAATGATATACACATTTTATAAGTAAACTAAGTATACATTATGCAAAAAGCAATAATTATTTTTTTAAAAAAACTCTTTTTTTCTCTTACTTTTAGCTCAGCACTTTGCTATGTCTTCTTTTATAGAGCTAAAAGGGGAAGGAGAGGTTAAACTCCAAGTGCAGTGCAAAGAAATAGCTCTTTAGTCCTGAAAGAATGTGAATCGTCAAGCCCTGTGCAGCCGTGTGTAAATATAATGACCGAATACGTCCATACTTTTAATTTCGTAAACCGCAGCACCTCAAAATAGTCATCCCATAACTGAGGAAGCTTTCCACATGCCACACCTCTGGACTTGTGCATCTTGCGAATGCCAGAAGGAATGCAGAAGAAAGAAGAGATCTGTAAATCTGCTCAAAGATCAGCTGCTAAAGTCTCTGTGTGCCCTAGATCGTGGAGAGGGGATGACTCAGGGATGAAAGCTGCTTCATTCTAGCATGGATGGGGGCCTCCTGATTGGCCAACTGCTATTTATTGATTTCAGCACTTTTGTTCCCGTTTCTTTAAAGAATATCACTTTGAGCTCCAAGGTGAAAGGCAGAATTTGTTTAACCAGTGTTAAAAAGGAAGGAAACTCAAGGGAAAATACACAGTTATCCATTATTGCTTGGTTAAAAGTGTAGACTACTGTTTCTCAACCTTGGCAACTTTAAGATAAGTGGACTTCAACTCCCAGAATTCCCCAGCCAGCCCTGCTGGCTGGGGAATTCTGGGAATTGAAGTCCACATATCTTAAAGTTGCCAAGGTTGAGAAACAGTAGTCTACACTTTTAACCAAGCAATAATGGATAACTGTGTATTTTCCCTTGAGTTTCCTTCCTTTTTAACACTGGTTAAACAAATTCTGCCTTTCATGGCTGGCTGGGGAATTCTGGGAATTGAAGTCCACATATCTTAAAGTTGCCAAGGTTGAGAAACACTGGTGTAGACCAAAGTGAATGGATGAGCAAATGGATGGATGCTTTATGTAATAGAAGTTTCCGTTTCAAGTGGCATAGCTCCACCAGCCAAAGTTAACTCCAAGCAGTGCCACTGTTCCTATCTATATTGATTTGGAAAGGAAAGATCTCTGAATTCAATGGCATAAGAGGAATTTCAGTCATTGTACATGCTGCAGTGGTGTTTCTTATGGCCAATACCTCAGGAGAAGCCAGAACAGAAATAAAATACACTCTCTCTTAAGCATGGACGGAGCGAATCTATTGATGTAATGCAAGCTGGGAAAACATGCTTCCCAAAGTGACTGCCTGTAGAGGAAGCTGATATATGAAATTTTCAGAAACCTTTAACCCATGAGCAAAACTTGCTGTTCGTGCCCTTCCCTTATCTCTCGGAAGAAGCGGAACAAGGAACAGGAAGCTCAGTCTTCCAGATGACAGTGCTTATCATTCCCACCCACCTTGGGACTTCCAGGCGTTTGTGCCTCCAACACATCTGGAATCACCAGAAAGACTGACTTAGCCTAAGGAAATCCTAGGGAGCTGTGAAAGGGTTGATGTGAAGCCTTCCTTTTACTGACACATATCCAAAGGAGTGGGCAATCAAAGGGCTGGAGCAGAGCCTCGCAAGTGTTCGGGGCTGCACCGAGGGCTTCCATCAGTGGCAAAGCCTTTACCCTAAAAAGCAGAATTACTGTGGAATGATCACTTGGGTACAGGCTCAGCGCAAGACTTCCTAGGAACTTGCAGTGCCCTGAACAACCTACAGAGGATCGGAGACTGCTTCGCATCCCTAAGACGCCCACCTCTAGAGGGTCACTTTACTTTTATCCATCCCCGGCAGCGTCCCTTGACTCAAACCCACCACAGCAAACTCGGCCCGTTTCCCCTACTCCCGCGGGCCCCAGTGCTAATTCTTCCTCGCGGCCCCCTCGAGAGGCCAGCAGCGAAGGCTGGTCGCTCCGGCGGTGCGCCCGGGCTGGCATCCCCCACCCTACGGCTGCCCCGGGTGGAGACAGGGGA